GCCGGATCCGTGCCAGCACGGACGTAGACTCCCTCTCTCGCCCGACCGAAGGGCTCGGGCTGTGTTGGTCACGGCGGCGCTTCAAGCTGCCCACCTCGGTCGCGCCCTGGTCGGCGACCTTCTCCTTGCCCCGGGCGACCTCTACCCGGGTAACCAGGACGTCAGGCTGCTCAACGACGAAGCCCTCGCCCGTCGTCACGGTCGAGGCGCTCAGGGGTCGGGCAGTGGGAATCTCCTTTTCCCCGGCCGCTTTGGTCTTGGCCTTCTTCTTCCCGCCGAGGGAGATCTTGGCGGGGCGGGGGAAGGGCGGTGTCTTCATCACCAAATTCTGCCATGGCTGGCAATAAAAAGAGCTAAGTTAGTTTGATCAAGAAATGAAGCTAGGTCGGGAGGAACAGCTCGAGCTAAACCTTTCTTCTTCCGTTTCGACGGCTTGGCGACCGTCACGCCCATCGGTACGGGAAGGTACTTCTCCTTTAGCTCGTACGTGGGGGGCGGGAGCTTGGCGGCTGCGAGACTCTCGGCTGTCCGGAAGATGGAGTACTCGTGTATTTCACTCGAGATCCGAGTGACCGTCTCCTTGAGCGCCTGAGTCGCGGCCGGCACCACTTGCTTTCTGAAGTGGCTGCTCCAAGTGCGATCGACCGGGAGGATCCAGGGGTCGTATTTGATGGAGAAAATTCTGTTCTTCCACCCTTGTTGTTCCCGGGCAGGCCTTTGATGGAGCACATATCTGCTCGGGATTGCAGCATCAGGAACCCACCCCCGTAGCGGCCCGGGAGAACCTTGATCTGGTAGATGAAGTTGAACAACTCCATCGTGCACTCGGCCTCGGTGCCGAGTGCATATCTGCGGGAAGCAGGCGAGGATCCGATGTGCGTTCGGGCAGATTTGAGCCGGAACGACCCGGTAGTACGCTAAAAAGGCCCGTCAAGAGGGGCCGGGAAGGGAATGGCAATCGGGGGCCATTAGGGAGTCGTAATGCATCCCGATCCACTTGCCCCGATGCCTGTCAATCACGTTCCCAGCTGCCGCTCGTGTCGAATTCAACCCGACCCCGGAGTACTTCAGCAATCCGAGCCGCTTCGCCTTTGGTCAGCAGGCTCATTTCTTGCTCGACACTCTCGCTGTTCAAGAATTCGAGCTCGACGGCTGGTGTGGCCGGCCCGGCCGGGTCTTCTTCGGTCTGCTCGGGGGTATTTTCCCGATCCCCCCTCGAGAGAGCAGCTTCCGGGTAGTCCCCAACCACCCGGGTAGGCGTTTCCCTAACGCCCTCGGTCGGAGAACCCCGCCCGCTTGACGTGGTTCTCTCTTCCTCTTCTTCGCTGGAGCTCCCCGATCCGCTGGAGCTAGAGCTCGATGTCCCAGAGGAGCTTGATGCGTTGTTATGCTTGACGGCTCGCTCAGGGGCTGGCGTTGCTCGGGGGCTGGCTTCAGGAGTGCAGGACATAATGTCCACTTCCTCGTCGCTGATGTACTCGACCTCCTCGTCATAGTCCGCGATCGAGGCGTTTTGACTATCCGAGTCCGACATAATTCTACCTAAAGGTCGGTCGGGAGTTAGTATAGGGTTCGGGGAGTTAGCTCGAAGTTAGTGCTATCCTACTTCTACGCCAAGTGAAGAATAGAGAAAGAGTAAAGAACTAGGAGCTTACCGAGTGAAGAAACTTGGAAGAGGATCTGAAGTTTCGCTTTGCTTGATCGCCTTGCTGAGATGCTCTGCTCGGGATTCTTAGAGGATACCGGACTGAAGCAAAAGAGTGAGGAAAGTTCAAATGAGGGCCTCAAGGGCCTATTTATAGGAGGGCATTTAGGCGGGAAATGGCCAACTTGCCTGACACGACCCGCGCTGAATCCGAGGCGACGGATGGGATCGCCGAGGCCGGCAGAGGCCGACACGTGGCGTAGGAGGGAATGACAGCTGGCAGGTCGGCTTGGTGGCTGACGGTTGGGCTTCTTCATCCCATTCCCGTTTTTCCCGACTGATCAAAAAGGCCCGGGCTGGGGGGCTCTTGGTAGGGAATATCCCGACCGACATAGCTTCACCACGACCGAGGAGCCTTTGTCTCTTTCTCCTTGTCTTTGCAGGTAACAGGTCGGGCTCCACGAGAAGAACCCGGTCGTAGACCGACCAGAGTTGCCCGAGCAACGGTGTCGACCACCGAGCGGTAGCCCTTTGGCGAAAGAGCTGACGAAGGACACGTGGCGGCTCTTTACATCGACAGGCAGGGCACCCGGGAGGATGACACGTGGTGGCTACGTGGAGGACATGCCGAACGGCTGGAATCCTGTCCCCGGCATAGCGGCTATAAATACCCACAGTAGCTACAGTGTAAGGGACTTTTGGGACGATCGATAGGTTGTTATTAGAGAATCCCGACCGCACTCAGTCGGTACTCAGAGCAACCAAGTAGATTGTACTTAGGGCCTTTACCGGTGATCAATAAAGATTTTACTTGCTTTAATTGGTCTCGTGTTATTCTATATTGCTTACCCATAATTAGCAGTATCAGTTCTATAATTATAAACATAGAGTTCAGTAATTATGAACATAAATTTTCTGAAGACAAATGTCGTTAACGACGAAAGAAAGAATTATTATTTTTAAATTAACATGACGACACGACGTAATTTTCCACCAAAACGACGCCGTTTTGGAACCATGTCCACCTTGCAAGATGGATACGGTTCCACAACATAATTTTGCCCAGACAACGGAGACAAGTGAGACAACCAGTCTCGACCAGTTTATGGTTATGGGCCAAGGCCTAATTCATATTGAGCCTTGCTTCACTAACTCCCCTAAACCGGTAAAATTGTTCAATTAAGTCCAAAATGACTTGTTTATCAGGTTAAATTTATGTGTTGACACGCGTCTTTTATATTTTAATTTTTTTAATAAATTTATTTTTATTTACTAAAAGTACAAATATTATATAAAAAATAAAAAAAAAAAAAACTGTTCTTGGCTGTCCGGAGAGGACAGTCACGTCGTCTAAGGAACACGGCCATGGCCGCCGTCCTCATTCCAGAGGGTCATGGCTGTGTATTGGGTACGGTTCAAAATGCAACCATTAACCTGGTTTTCATTAAAAAAAAAAAAAAAATTTACATCGTTTTGGTACCATGACCAATTGTATAACTGTAAATTCTAGGCCGGTCAACTCATATAACTCGCTTAGTTTGTGGGTCTCTGGGCCTACACCCAAACTCTATTGATTGCATGAAACTCATTTATCATTCTTATTTGCAATTTCAATTAATCTTTTCTTATTTACCCAAATCTATTCACCGCTTTTGATGTATATTGGCACTTCCAGAAATGAATGCCTCGTTTTTCTTTACCTTGCTGCTAATGTTTCTTCAAGCAAACAATAGTCATTGCATATATGTTGAATTTAAAAGCAAGAAAACATGTAAATGAAACACACTTAAGTACGAAATTCAAAGATGAGTAGTACAGATGATGAATGATCTGAGTCCTAACACACTGCACGTAGAGAACATCGTGCATCCATTCGTTCAAGACCGGAATATATAGTGAATGTATCAATCATAAGTGTAAATAATCTGAGAATCCTGGAGAATATGTGTGTGCGCACGCTCAAGCAAGCCTTCAAGAAATCATGGCTTCTTAAGCAGCTCTGGTTTTGGAATTTCTGGGAATTCAGGCTTGGGAATGTTGGAAACTCTGGTTTTGGTATTTCTGGGACTTCAAGCTTTGGGAATGTTGGAAACTCTGGTTTTGGGATTTCTGGGACTTCAAGCTTTGGTAATGTTGGAAGCTCTGGTTTTGGGATTTCTGGGATTTCAGGCTTGGGGAACGTTGGTAGCTCTGGTTTTGGGATTTCTGGGATTTCAGGCTTTGGGAATGTTGGTAGCTCTGGTTTTGGAATTTCTGGCAGCTCAGGCTTTGGCAATGTTGGGATTTCAGGCAATGTGATCTCCATAAGGTTTCTGGCCTCGATTTGTACGAAAGCCGGTGACAGAGTGATCAAGAAAAGCAGGAGAAAGGATGGGTTGAGATGATGAGCCATTCTTGGTGAAGATGTTTTGTTTCTATTTCTAGCTTGGATTAGAGAGTTATGGTCTGGGGTTGTATTTGGGCAAGCTTATATAGAAAGGAGAGCAGGAAGAAACATTGAGATTAGTTGGTAGGAAGAACAATATGTTGGTTCAACTTCTCAACAACACTCATCTGAAATAGACAAATAGTCCAGGTAGCTTTTGAAGCCAGCTGGATTTTCTTGAATACCTTTCAAGCTTCTTTATCAAGGAACACAAATATTTTCCCAGCCATTGCCATTCTTGTTTGAGCTGTTAGGAAAACATATGATTTATTTTCCCAGCCATTGTCATTGACCCGGTTCTAGCATCATATCGTGTATGACGACCATGATAATTTGTTACTACCTCCCATTTTGAGGCCGGTGCATAATGAGAAAGAATTATTTGGAAGAAGGCTACTGGACTGGTTCAAAAAGAATTAAGAAGAATTTGGACTAAAAGCTATTTAGATTAGAGTTGTCAGTCCATAAGTTGGCCAGAGGAAGCGACCTAAGAAAGGGTTTCGTTGTCTGGTGTTTGATAAGGTTCTAAGTGAAACCATTCGATCCAAAGATGAAAAAAGACTACGTGGTGCCAAAAGGAGTCTGGAGTGCAAACGGTTTAGAGTGGGATGCAACAAACATTGACTTCTTAAAAGGCGGACAATAATTATTTTACATATCAGTTTTTCAAAAGATTTTGGAGGCTAGTGATATTTGATTTGATATTAAACTTCTACTCATGAGCTAGTTTTTCTAGAACTGACCAATGGATCCATTATATATATTCATCCCATCTTTATTTTAATTAGATTTTGTTAATTCAATGAAGTTTTGTTTTAATTTGCTCTAAAAAAATGAAAGCTAATCTTGTTTCCAACTAATTAATGTTTCTTGAAGCAAACCATATAGTGTTTGCGGGCATAAAATCGTAGAATGATAGATATGAAGATGTATATATATAAGTGGCTCGCCGTTTATTCCAATATTATTACGTGCGTACGGTACGGACTACAGAGGGGCATAGAAAGTAAAATAAGGAAAATATTATATGTAGTAGAGAGGGATACTTATATAAAGCAAAGGGATCGGAGAAGATGATAATATATAGTGAGTATTTGAGACGATATAGGGCGGCCGGCAAGCCATGGAGCTTAGCTCAAATGCGGTACGGTCCTCCATCGTTTATGGTAGCCGCGGGAACAGCGGGATTGTCACCGGAGCACCAGTGATGGCAGCGGCGGAAGACGCACTGGAGGCAGTACTGGAAGACGCAGTGGAGGAAGAGGAAGAGGAAGAGGAAGAGGAAGAGTCACTGGAGGCACTAATGGAAGACGCACTGGAGGCACTGATGGCAAGCGGCGGAAGACTCGCTGGAGGAAGAGTCACTGAAGGCACTGATGGCAGCGGCGGGATGTTCACCGGAGGCAGTGATGGCAGCGGCGGGGATGTTCACCGGAGGCAGTGATGGCAGCGGCGGAATGCTCACCGGAGTCACTGATGGCAGCGGCGGGATGTTCACCGGAGGCAGTACTGATGGCAGCGGCGGGATGTTCACCGGAGGCAGTACTGATGGCAGCGGCGGAAGAATCACTACTGGGGGAGGCGGGGGTGGCGGAGGTGGCGGAGGAGGGGGTGGGTTCCGAGGGTTGAGGTTTAAGAGACTACGAGCTTCTGCCACCACGATGCTGCCGGTGACAGACGCCATTAGGATCAGCAGAATTGGCAGTAAACGCGGGAATGGCACACTTTTTTGGTGCGCCATGTTTGGAATGAGTTGTAGTGGTGACTGGTGAATGAATGCAATGCATGGGTTTTTATAGATGTTGACGTTAGCTGAGGAAGCCATGAGAAATTAATTTTCTTTAAATTTAAGAAAAAAGTGTAAAATAGTTCACTAAAATTATACTCCTAGTTTTTATGTAATTAGATTATATATATATTAAACTTAAAAAATATGCAATTAAATCAGCAAGTAAAATGTTAAGCACCTTGTGCACATATGGTACCCGAGTTGGACTCCTATATGGGAGGTTGTAAGTTGTCTCAATGGAAGCGTTATTGCCAAGTAAAATATGTTCAATTGTGATAATTTTTTTTCCCAGTAAAATTCGATCAAATTAATTGCATGGATGGATAGGATAACATGGTATATACTAAGATTTGTTTTTTCCTAAATCATATTAGTTGAGATGAAAGATCGAAATATTTTTAATTTAAATTACATTAAAAGAAATCATATAAATGTTCAATTACACATATTCTGCTTGTTTGATGGTAAAATTGCGCACTTTTTAAATTCAATAACTCAATTGCACAAAAAAAAATAAGCTCAGTGACATATTTGATACTTGTTCCGAAAATTAATTAAAATGAGAAATAATCCACACTAGGTGTGGCAATGAGTGAAGTTGCTTGCGAGAGACAATCGATGACTCATTGCGAATCCGACGGTCAACGGCGAATCTAGCAAAAGACAATATAATGTAGCCAAGCCTCAAGGCTGACGACGACGAAGGCTTGAAATCTGCGTACAGATTGACGAGCCAATCTAGTTTATCTCAAACAAGCTAGAGCTCAAACATTAGTGTCAATCGAGCTGAGTTCGAATTTCAATTTTAAGGTTTGATTGAGTTTGTGTTCAACTCGGCTCGTTTATAGGCCTAACTCATACCTATATAGCTAATTCAAGTTATATTGTGTATCAGTTTATCATACACATTATAAATTATGATACAAATTATGTATATGCAGTTAATATATTATGTACATAATTTAACATTATTGTTCAAATTCATGATATGTGAATATAAGGAAATAAAATGAATTACATAATATGTTAACAACAAATATAATTTCCGGGCTAAGGTCTATAATGTACATGATGAATTCGATTCACGATATAACGAAACTATTAGTGGGTTTCTCCTAATTAATTCAAAGGAAGAAATTTTGCCACGATTTTTTTTTTTTTTAACGCAAGAAAACGAAGATTCCATTACTAATCAGAATAAGTGCGTAAATACAATCAGGTGGAACACCAGTCCACACTACTGAGACAGACTTAGAAAACGGTCGCCTGAGCAAGCTCATGAGCCACACGATTCGCTGACCTCCTAATATGGGATACAGTAACATTCCCAATATCGCTAGCAATCGACTTACATTGCTTCACAAACAACCCAGCATAAGAAAAATCAGAAAACTCGAATTGAAAGCAGTACAAAAATTTAAACAGTCTGATTCTAAATTAACATTGCTGTAACCTTGCGTCTTAATCCAAACCAAAGCCTCCTTGACTCCCAGATAAACGGATCCTCCTCACCTACTAATTGTCCACATTTAGCTGCAACAAATGCACCCTCATGGTCACGCATCACAGCGCCAAAGCCAGCACCATTACTCAAAACAGAAGCGTCCACGTTACATTTGAGTACATTGTTCAAAATTCATGATATGTGAATATAAGGAAATAAAATGAGTTACATAATATGTTAACAACAAATATAATATCCGGGCTAAGGTCTATAATGTACATGATGAATTCGATTCACGATATAACGAAACTGTTAGTGGGTTTCTCCTAATTAATTCAAAGGAAGAAATTTTGCACCATTAGTAATTGAGTTTGTTCTGCATGGACCGACATATATGGTTAAATCGACATATAATTAAATCCTATGTTTATAGTAAAATTAATATATATAAATGCATCACATATGTTAAGTGGGAATATTATTGACTTTTTGTACCACGAATTAATACTAATAAATTTATCACTTGATAATGAAAGTTGTTTCACCGCCCACCCCCCAAAAAAAAAAATCAATACTTAAAATGATCATTTGACCATGTTATAATTCCTAATTTGGTCATCAAATATTAATTCATTAAAAAATATTAATAGAAATTTTTGTATTTGTTCTAAAAGGGTAGTTGAATGGGGTAGAGCATGAATGCATGACTCCATATATACCTAATGATTACAAGTTCAATTTTTGCCAACATCCTCTCAGTCGCCCATCTAATTAACAAGATCTTCCTAGTGCGGTTCATCTCTTTCGTGTGATTCATTGACTATTATACATGAGAATGGTTTTTCTAATGCACACTGATGGTAAATATGTCATCGGATAATATTTGGAAAGTAATCATAGTTAGTATTGCTTAGAGTGTTGATACAAGAATTAGTGCATGCCCTTGGCAACCCAATGGGGTAGCTCAATTGACAAATGAACTCTCTTTGTGATAGAGAATTCCGAGATAGCCTCGGACAGAGAAAAACCCGGACCACCTCGATTTTTACACCACAAAAAAAAATCATGGTTTCCTACTTATACTAGTGTAGAGCCAAGCCTACATTGAGTGTGGTCTTCATCATAATTGCTCCCTCTTGAATAGGTCGGTAAATTCAAAAAAAAAAAAAAGATTTACTCAATTTTATCATCTGATGTACTAAAATGAGTAAATTCCTTTATAGTTAAAGAATATTTTAGATGAATTGATAGTCGATGACTAAAGTAAAAATTATATATACTCAAGAGGTCAGGGATTTTTTTTTTTTAAAAGAAAAATAACTTCATTAAAATCAAGCAATAAGATGTTCAATACAAGCTGGAATAGTAGAAAAATAAGAAAGATGACCAGGTGAGAACAAGCAACTCCGGCTAACAATGAGCAAGCTTATTCACTGATCGATTCTCATACTGAATGGACACTGATTCAAAGTGTCGTTTTAAGACCCGACACTAATTGAAGATACAACCTGCATAAGAATAGTCTGGTAAATCATTATTGAGGAATCTGCAAATCATTTGACAGTCCGATCTCAACACAATATTAGAACAACCTTGTTCGAGAATCCAAGAGAGCTTCCTTCATGGCTATAGCCTCCACTAGATGAGGATCTTTAGAGGGCATTTTTTATATATATTATCTCAAAAAAAAAAAAAAAAAAAAAAAAAAAAAAAAAAAAAAAAAAAAAAACAACAACAACAACAACACCGTCAAATGGTTGAAGAAAGAATGAAACCAAGTTAGGCAGCCGGCAGCCATTATGGAATTTTAATTTCATTAAAGAGAAAGAAAAATGGCATGAATAATTAAGTTTGGTCCTTTCAAAAAAAATTTAATTTTGGGCAAATTATACATGGATCAAGGCCTAGCTTACATTGTGAATTTTAATCCAAAATAATTTTCAGATTATGTGTTTGCATTTGACATATTTTTTATATATCATTACAGTTTATGCGTTTGTAAATAAATTGAAACGCTACATAACACTTTACCTACAAACACATAATATGTTAACTGCAGACACATAATATGTTAACTAATAAAAATATTATGTGTTTGCATTTAACATATTATGTATGTAATTATCATATTATGTGTTTGTAATTAATATGTTATGTACAATTAATTTATTTATAAACACATAATTGTTAACTGCAAATATATAATAGGACAACAGCAGATACATAAATTTTGGACGAATGTCTAGAATTAAAACAATTGCTTAATTTTG